ATAAATAGTTTAGGTGCCATTAATATTTCATGAATGTTAGGCGAAAGATTTGAGTGACTGCTGTTTGGAAAGTGGTACACTTGATGTCGGTGTCTTCAGGCTAATGTAGTGCTGTCAGGAGTTCTGCGTAAATATGCACAATGTCATGTGCATGTTTTGATTTGCCTTCTATGTGGATATTGTGTTTGTGAGGTATATTTTTTGGTTGTGATTTCTTCAAGCTTCACATTTACAGTCACATTAAATGATCTTATATTTAATATATGACAAGGTTTAAGTGCTGGGTATGAATGTAGAATTCTCGTGATTTTTTTCTGTTTCTGGCCTTAACTTAGTGATGCAGGGTTCTTGTCTCCTGTCGTTCAGTGGGCCGTAGAGGAGAGCACTCCTCCTAAAGACACAGGCATGTGTTTATGGCTTCATTTCATCTTGTAGACGACCCTCCCCTCCATCTCAGCAGCAGGCCTTTTCTTGATCTGCCTGCTGTGGCTACTGCATGTGCAGGGGTCAGAAGTCAGAGCTTGTGAACAGTAGCCTCTTAAGGCCAGGGAAAGCTTACTGAAGAGAATTAGCTTTTAAATATCATTAAACATTAATGTGGCCTGATTTATGTGTCGAGCCTCCTTTCGCTGAATTTCCCGCTGTGTCGTAGTAGAATTTCACTTCCGGGAGCCTCTGGAGTATCACTGTGTCAATGTGGAGCTTGGCTTACTGGCTGCTTCACAAGGAAACAATTTACTCGCCCTGCATCCTGCGCACCCTGTGCCACAGTGCGAGGGGACATTATGGGTATGGTGTTCTGTTTACAGCCTTCATTTGTGCACAATTAAAGGGTCCATATAATAGAAATCTGATTTTTTTCCCTTTTTTCAAGTAAAAGAGTAGAGTTTGGTGTATATAAACACTTTTAAAGTTTTAAATTGTACCATTCACTCCCCCCAGTCCATATATAGAAACTCAGCAGCAAAAATAACCTGTCTTGAATTCACTGTTTTTGTGATGTCACACACATATATCTGCCAATTCAACCTACAGTAGTTTAGCTCTAGCCATTCACACTGAAGTTATTAGGAGTGTTTCAGGCCAGCCAATAAGAACAGAGGTCATTTACATATCAATCTTATAAAGGCACAGTGACAAAACAGCCTATCTTTCTTGTATTTTATTTTTGTCCCCTGAAGTCCAAGTATGATATTTGTGTGATTTTATGTACCATAAATGCCCATAATTCATTTTACATGCCTACTTCCATCTCCTCTTTATCCCTTAGAATTAAAGGCTGTTTTTGCTACTGTACTTTTAAGACTGATGTATGTAAATGATCCCTGTTCTGAGTGGCTACCCTGTACTGTGCTTCATTCAAAAAACAGCCTGGGCTGAAACAGTGCTTATAACTTCAGCATGAACCTTCAGTTCAGTTCACATCAAACACTGTTATTTCCAAAAAGCAATGAATATTTAGTTTTCCATAATGTAGGCCCTTTCATTCTGAGGTTAAAAAATGAATGTAAAAATGAATTAAGATTGTTTTTGTACAGAGAACTCACACAAACTTTATAAGTGGACCTAAGGGGAAAAGAATAAAGATGTAGGATATGGGTCCTTCAACAAGTTTATAGTAAATACAGCAAAATCCGGATTTAACTTTCTCCCATTTAAGCTAGTTTATTTGGTTTATGACAAGGTGGATGTGTGCTGATTTTCTCACGTTCTCTAATGTTAATAACATGGCCAGCCTATATGTTTCATCTTTGTTTAGCTATGCTGTTTATCATCAAATGTGTCTCACTTTCACTGGCTCACTGTATCAGCAATGCAAGCACCATGCACTTCATGCACTTTATGGATCATTTCTAATACATGAGCTCTGTGTTGTGTAGTTACTCTAGTGTGCCAGTAGAGAGCAGTCTACCCTCAGACTGCTTAGTTTGGTGCAGCATTACAAATTCCTGACATGTGACATTTGATGGACTATATATCTGTTTATATAGTGTAAGTCTTTATATAGTGGTGAAGAAATAAATGTTATTTTATTTATAAATACCCCCTCTTATGTGTATGATTGAGGAATGTGTGTGCAGCTCAGAAAATATCAAATGCTCCTCTCAGTTAAAGAATGTGTTAATAAAAATATTATGTCAATAGAACAAACATATGTAATATTTTATTTTTTATATATATGTGTGTGTTTGTGTGTGGTGTGTTATATAGTTTATAGTTTAGTGTATAGTCTATAGAGGTGTGTGCATATTAAAGGAAAAAGCCACCATTTTTTCAAAATTTCTTCCTGCGAAGGCATTTATATTTGAGATGTAAACAAAGTCATTCAGAGTGGCTTGCTGTGAAATTGTGTTGAAGACAAACTTACCAACTCTTACAGTGGTGATGATAAGAACCAACGGTTGCGATGTCCACACAAAAAATATATTTTTTTAAATTTTATTTATTATCTAAAACAACAAGAGAACCTACACATGTCTTTGGGGTTTTTATGTGTAATGTTGATAATGGTGAAATCAAAAAATTCTAGTAAAATCCTTTGAGGAAATTCTTTTGCCTTCCAACACCCTGCATCCACCCCTCCACCATGAAGGTGTTTTAAGGTGCTCTGAGAACCAAGATGTCTTTTCTACAGGAGCATCTTTTGTTCCCCAGTCTATCCCCATAGTGTAATTATTGTTTCTCACTTGTTACTCTGTGAGACATTTGTAAGTAGAAGATGAGATATTGTATTACAAATTGAATTTGTTGAATAGTCTGGGAAAAAGTTATTTATAAAATTGTTTTGTACAATACAAACATACATTTTTAACATACATTAGTCATTTGTTTGAAACAAAGTAGAACCTGCAGATTAAAATTTGTTGATAAAGAATGCAAATGTAATTCATGATGTAACCAATTTTGAAATGTTTAGTGAAATTACAGTAATAACTTAACTTCTAAAGGATAATTGGCTGTAATGTTTTTGGATTTGTGTGGGTTAGATTTGTTAATTTTTCTTCCTTGCCCAAAGGATTCTGTATGCTTTGCTTCGACTCACATGCTAAGTTACCCTACTACCATTGTTCAAAATGTTTTATGTATACATTTGTGTATGTGTTTTATGTGAGGTATTCTGTATATGCATATAAAGAGAAGCCAAACACAAATTTTCCAGAGGTTCTATCTCTGCCACTGTAAACAATTCTGACTTGGTAATTTTCTCTACAATGGTGCATTTCACATCTAACCACTCAGAATGACCTTGTTTACATATTAACTATTTAATTATGCAGAAATTATTATTATTATTATTATTATTATTATTATTATTATTTTATCAACACAGGGGTTGTTAGTCAGTACATAACGAGTAGCCTCTGTATTGACTGGGCTATTCTTAGGTGGACAGTACTGTTTCTAAATCTCCTCTGCTCAGCAGTGAATAATTGTATTTGTAGCTGCTTTATAACGCTAAATAAAAGTATCTTCTTAGAGAGAGAGAGAGCAAGTAGCATCTTGTTTCCTCAATTGAAAAATTTGAGCCTCTCTCAGTTTCTATGTACTGTACATTAAAAAATAGCACCATTAGATGGAGCTGTGCTCTCAGAGGCAGCACTGAGGTGCCTCTCACTCAGCTGATGAAGTGTTGACTCATTATTGCTTTCTATATGAAGTATCCTCTTCCTTTCTGCTTGCTGTGCGGTGCCTGAACTGGGCAGTGCCGGCTCTGACGTAAGGACCCTCCATCTATGGTAGCTCATTAAAAATCCAATTTAAAGAAGAGGCTGCAGTCGGAGCCTTTTTATATTTCATATAGCATTATTTTATATTAGGTGCTCAGTGAAGACTGCCGGTCCTACAGGTTATTATTCCAGCCCTGCACCCACACCACCAGACTTCATCCCCCTATCAAAGAAGGGAACCAAATTACTGAAATCAGGTGTTCTGCTGCATAGTTAAAGCTAATATGTGCAGGCACTGTGGTGCATGATGAATTCCATCAAGTACCTGTGACAGACAGCACAATGTGCAGGCCTGTTTAAATTGCTTGATTGAAATTCTAGGTAGAGAGTCAAGAAACCAGGGAGGGGGGAGGGGGTCAGTTGACCTTCTATAACATCACCTCTTTTGTTGTACCTTATTCAGTGATAACAACCAAACTTCATTACTATGCGAAAGTCAGAAACCACCCTTCATTTATTTTTCAGGAGGTGTTTCTGAGGAGGTTAGGTGTAAGATAGTTCACTTGCACAAGGAAAGGGAAAGTAAGTAAAAAAACAGGAGTTTAGAAAACTGTAAGCTTTAGAAAAATGGGACTCCTAACAACTGTGCAAGACATTTTAGACCACAAAAACTGTTCCCATCAGATGAAGAGTACTTAAAGCTTTCATCAGTACTTAAAGCTTTGAGAGAGAGGAGACAATCAAGCTCCACTCTTGCTTCAGATTTAAAAATATCTGAAAGTGTTTCTGTCCATCCTTCCACTGTGACAACTCAACACTATGAGTCTGAAAGGATATGTAGCTGTGAAAAAGCCTTTACTGAGAAAAAGAAATAGACAAACTTAAGAAAAAGTGTAAATCAAACAGAAAATCTGCAGATTACTCAGAGTACTCAGAGAACCAGAAAATGCAGCCAACTTCTAAGACTAAACTTTGGAAGTGCAGAAAAATATCCCTGCAGGTTTCTGTGAGAAACTTGAAAGAACTTTCCTGAAAGGAATGGAATGGCTGCAATAAAGGCCAAGGCTAGACATTGCCAAAAAGAAATGCTGTTATTTTTTACTTGTTTGGGTTACTGTGTAATTTTCTGTTAAAAATACAATTTCTGCTTTTTTCTGTACTGAATGTACTGTACTGAATAGTTGTTTGGACTAGAAATTAAACAAATGAAGGGTGGTGTCTGACTTTTGCACAGTACTGTACCCCTCAAATGAGTGCTGTATTCATTGTAAGAGTGCTTAATACCTTTTTTGAGTGGATATTTATAGCTTGTATTACCATTTATGTTCACAGAATCATCTCCTCAGTATAAGAAGAAGAAGAAAATCTTTGATTATATCCACAAACCCCTTTAAAAGAAAAGCAAGGTGTAGGTAATGTATCCCATCAATGTCGAATACAGAAGGTTTCTTAATTTTATTGCTATTTATTCTGAATATGCTGAAAAGTCGTGATGTGCCCCTCTCTCTTCCCCCAGGTAGAACTGCACTGGACAGACTGACCTCTCCCCAGTTTTCTGGAAGTGTGACAGCACTTGGTCACATGACCTGGAAGAGAAAACCCAAGAGACCTTTTGGATCCCTCTCTGGTTAGAGACCCTTTATATCCGTCTCTCCGTCTGTCAGAGTGTAGAGGAATGTGTGTCCAGTTTTTGTCTAGAAAATATCAAATGCTCCTGTCATTTTTAAAAATGCGTTAAATGTTTTATGTGAACAGAAATTAGACAAACATGCAGCATATTCTTTTCAAAAGGACTCACTAATTAGAGAGCTCATGCAAATGCTGCTGTTTTGTCTCTTTTTCTGTGGGGCTTTTCCTAACGAGGCAATTCAGCTAAGCGTATGATAAGTAAATCGGTACCCATATGGCTCCTGTGTGTTCACCCATGCTGTTGGGGGGTGAAGCCCCTTTGGCTGCAGTGAAGGCCCTGATGTGGCCAGTGTGAGACGTATGGCGGCCTCGCATGACTGGCCAGCAGGGCTAATCGACATGACGCCACTAGTGTTTTTTTGTTTTTTTTTATTGTGTGCTCCCGTGTTACTGTAGAATGGGCCGGTTATCAACCTGGAAAGAAGTCTAAAGGCTGATGTGCTGATCCGCACAGCGACACAGCTGCGGTCTCTCTCTCTCCTCCTCCTCGCAAAGTCTGCCTGACCCTCGCCATTTATGCCCTGAGAGCCGCAACTGTGCGCAACTCCGGTGAGTTCCCCCTTTCCCGCTTCTGTTCTTACTGCTCTCTTTTAGCACCCTGCATGATGCCCCACTAAACTGCCTCCCACAGACGTGCATCAGGTCTGTTGTTCCACCCTCTGCTGAGATTTGAAATGTATTCATACCAGCATTTCTCTTTTCCAGTCCTGCAGGGCACAGAACTGCATTGTTGGTTAAAGGGGTTGGTTATTTGCTGATCAGTTGAAGTAGTTTTTAAACTTTACTGCTAAACTGCACAGTGCTGCAGAAATAGGACTGAGAGGACACTATTAGTGTCTAGGGGCCTTGAGCTAACTTCATTTATATAGTTTTGTGCATGACCTAGTGCTTATTCAGTGTAGGCCTTAAAAATTAATTGGTAGTAAAGTATGAGAACATGAGATGTTCAGCATCACTCTACTAGTAGTCTTTTATTCTTAACCATTAGGGATGTTACAGTACAATACTTAGATGTACAATAAGTACAATGTATTTCATTGCATATTGTATTGTTGCATCGTGACTGGCATGTTAGCTTGTGGCTAGTATGTTAGCCTGGGGGTGGAGCGTTAGATTGGGACACTATAAAGCACAGATTTTTTTTCATATATTATACTTTAATAACGCTGTATAATGGTCTAATACAATGGTGCCCATACCTTTTGTTTTGGGGTGGCAATGTGCAATTTTTGTGGTGGGCCAAGGACCAAAAAGACAACACAGTATACAAATAAAGAAGAAACACTTTCAGAAAAAAAAGAGAAAAACATGCTGCGCCTGTCGTGATACCCTTGAGGAGCATGTTTTCTGTAACTTTAATTAGGGAACATTATTGTATCATATTCTGTTACCAGAGGTGGCAGCAAACTTTCAAAAGAAAAAAGTTAAAAAAAACACTGCTGGCTGAGTGACAAAATACAATTAGGCCACTGACTGAATAACTAAAACTTCCTAGTATGATATACATTATATGGCCAAAAGTTTGTGGACACTAATTATTGAGTTCAGGTGTTTCACCTATGCCCTGCGATGGACTGGTGACCTGTCCAGGGTGTATCCTGCCTTCCACCCAATGACTGCTGGGCTAGGCTCCAGCTCCCCCTGCAACCCAGAAGGATAAACGGCTTAGAAGATGTGTGTGTGTGTGTATGTGTGCGCGTGTTTCAGCTACACCCATTGCTTACAGGTATATAAAATCAAGCACTGAGCCTTGCAGTGTCTATAGACAAACACTGGCAGTAGAATGAGTCATACTGAAGAGCTCAGTGACATGGCACTGTCATAGGAAGCCGCCTTTGCCACGTTCAGTTTGTGAACTTTCTGCCCTGCTATATCTGCTCCGGTCAGCTGTAAATACTGTTATTATGAAATTGAAGTGTCTAGGAGCAACAGCAGCGCTGCCACAAAGTGGGGCTGCTGAGTGCTGAAGTGTGTAGTGCTTAAAAATCACCTATCCTCTGTTGTATCACTCACTACAGAGTTCCAAACTGCCTCTAGAATCATCAGCACAAAAACTGTGCATTGGGAGCTTCATGAAATTGCCTTCTGTGGCCGGACTGCTGCACATAAGCCTAAGATCAGTACACGCAGTGTTAAGCGTTGTCTGTAGTGGTGTTAAGAATGCTGCTACTCAATGCTGGAGTAGTGGAAACTTATTCTCTGGAGTGATGAATCATGTGTCAGTATCAGGCTATGATGGGTGCCAGGAGAACGGTACCCACCAGAATGCATAGTGTCAACAGTAATATTTGGTGGAGGAGGTGTGATGGTGTGGGGCTGTTTTTCAGGGTTTGGGCTCAACCTTTTAGTTGCAGTGAAGGGGACCCACAGCATACAAAGATATTTTAGACCATTATATGCTTCTGACTTTGTGGCAACTGTTCCAGCATGACTGTGCCCTTGTGCACAAAGCGAGATGCTTAAAGACATGGTTTGACAACTTCATTGTGGAGGAACTCCAGCAGCCTGCACAGAGCTCTGAGCTCAACCCCACAGAACATCTTTGGGTTGAACTGGAACATTGCTTTAGAGCCAGGTCTTCTCATCCAACATTAGTGCCTGAACTAAATGGGCACAAATTCCTGCAGATACCCTCCAAAATCTTGTGGAAAGCCTTCCCAGAATAATGGAGACTGTCATTGCTGTGAAGGGGAAGGGGGGGGGCAGCTCCTTATTAATGCCCATAGTTTTGGAATTGGATGTCTAACAAGCTCATGTGGGTTTGATGGTCAGGTGTCCACAAACATTTGGCCATATAGTGTATGTTATATGTTATGCTAATAACATGTTTCTATAAACCTGGGCATAAACGTTCTAACGCTCCACTTCACAGGTTCAGCCTCAGATAGAAAACTTTGCTAACTAACTAACATAGGAAATGTCCCACCTCCTCTGAAATGGAGATTTTGCTTGGTTCTGTCAATGAGTTTAACTGGCTCTCGGATAGGTCAGCAGTCTGTGCAGTTTGGGGAGACTGGGCGTTTGTTTCCATGTAAGGATCCTGAACTCAATCACAAAGTGGCAGGGCATCTCCCAGTATTTCGAAAAGTGCTGGGTCAAATGCCTGCTTGGCCCTGTGGTTCTGGCAGCCTTGCCTGTTAGTTACATTTTTTAATCCCTTAAATGGCCAGGGCCTGCCAGCGGGCCCAAAGGTTTATTTCACACTTCTATCACCATAACCAGTTTTCACTGAAGTCCCTGTAGTTACTGAATACTAAACCTAAGTAAGTAATAAACCTGGGATTTTAAATTACTTCTAAAGTACCGTTTTAGAAGAGAAATAAGAATTTAATAAGTTAACATACAATATAAAAATACATTTGTTCTATCATTAGGTGATGGAGTAGGGTCAGGGTAGCTATCTGACAGGCCAAATCAACCGTGCTCATGGGCCATCTTTTGCCAGCCTTGGTCTGATAAACTGAAAATGGGAACATTAACATATTAACATAAGGCACATTTTAAGGCTTACCTTATTTTTACTGTATCAAATCAAGATGCCACTGTATCATGTCAAAATGATTAATGAATTTTGTGAATTGTTATACCCCTATTAGCCTTCTCGTATCTGTTTGATCTGCCAGAATCAGATTCTTTATTCGCAAAGAACTAGATGTACAAGGAATTTCTCTTGGTGCAGTTGTCAGCATAAAATTAAATCCAATATAAAATAAATACAGAAGAAGATGTACTATATAGAAACATAAAACAGACAATACACAAACAATCTGCAGGTAAAAGGATGTGCAATGAGTACAGCTACAGTCAAGTGCTGAAGTACTGAGTACTGTGTTTTAATGAATAGTACTTTAAAGCACCATTCACTTCATCACATCTGAGTAGTGATATCTGGAGGAAACACAGTGAAACAATGATGAAGTAAACTAACAAGATATTTTGATGGCTTATTTTGCTTTCTAAACTCTTGCTGGTCCTAGCTCACTATATCCTGGCAGGTTTGTGCTTTCTTGTTGTATTCATGATATTTATACAATGCTTTATGATAATAAGCATCTATAGATGTGACTCATATGAAAAAGATGTGAAAACCCTGTGACTCACACAGCAGGAACTTCAGTAGTGAATATCCGTGTTGTTGTTGTGTGGTGGTGTTCTTAGGTGCATCACTGCAGGTAGTTCTGGAGGTTTTCCTGCACCCCTTCTTCTCCACACTGCCTGTTGCGTCACATTACTTCCCCATCACCGCGCGTCGTCTCGCAGACACCTCAGAGGGAACTCTCAAGGGAGCTGTTGTCCTTTGTCATCGTAAGCGCTTTCGTCACATTGGCAGCTTTAGCTGAAGGGCGATCCACACACGAGCCGCATTAAAAATAACTCGCATGGAGCCATGGGTGTTTGTTCCACACGCTGGGCATGAAGAGTGGGTGGGGGGTCACTGGAAGAAAGGGAAGCCCAGGGCCTGGTCATGAAAATTTGGGCAGAACATACACTTGGCCTCTTCTTTCAAACCCACGCAGCTGGAAATTCTGATTTTGAGGTGAGCAAACATGCACAGCAGTTGAGAGTTGAGCAAGGAGCCATACTGTCTTTAATCATTTGTAACAGTCACATGATCAGATCATTTCAGTCAGTGTTGCTGCATATATATGTCACCAACCCTGTCCCTGGAGATCAACCTTTCTGCAGATGTTAGTTCTAGTCCTAATCGACCTCATCTGATTTATCTTGATTCTTGATGAGTTGAATTAGACATGTTAATTTGAGCTGGGTTAGTTTCACTAGAGGGAGTTAGTAATGTAATTTGTACAGTATTTGACTATCCCGTTCATACAGAATGAGGTATCTGTGTAATTTCCCAAAATTACCTCAAATGGCTCAGTTCGAAATGTCATAGGCCAGATGTTCACATCAGCATTAAGATTCAAATGAAACAGGTCTAATTAAGCAAACAACAAAAACTCCCAGTTAATGCCAGATACAGTAACAATAGGTTAGTAATGGATGCTCATTAAGCTACACAAATGCTACCCAACCAGACATAAATTGCTCTGATTGATTTTCCTTATTCTGATTTGACTCAACTATATTTGAGTGATAGTAAATAGTAATCCTATATGCATATTGCGTTATTGAGAAGTTAAAGCAAATGTTTTTTAAAGCTGCACTATATAGGATTTGGGGATTTGGAGACCTCTCTAATGGAAATGTGTAATTGCACGCAATGTGCGGAAAATCGTTTTGTAACATCGGTTGTGCTTCAGACCCCTTTCTCGAGTGGATGAATCTAGTGATTGCAAGCACATTGAGAGTGTTCGGTGAAGAACGTGTCTTCTGAGGATGTACGTTAATTATTTACTATTATCATATCTCATCAGTATGATGTTGATTTTGCCTTTCAGACCTAAACGTCTTTTTGATGCCTGTGTATGTGACGTTGATGCGTAGGTCACGGTCTTAAAAACTCCTGCCAAATCTGACCGGATGCCTCTGACTTATTTCAAGCTTTATAGGGTGACTCACAGCAGTACTTGTCACAATTGTTACGTAAT